CGGGATCTGGGAAGGCAGGTTTGGGAGGCTCCGTGACCTGGTTTCTCCTTCCCCTGGGGACGACGGGGCCAGCCCGAGCAGGACCCAGGGGCCTTGCTGCAACAGGGCAGCTGGGGACAGACCTCCGAGCGGCGCTGCTCCAGGTTCAGGGGGCTCGCGCCGCGCGCCGCCCGCCCTCACCCGCAAGGCAGACACAAAGCAGGGCGGCTCCGCGCGTTTATTGTAAACTCAACCACTGGATCGGAAGGGATCGGGACCCCTCCCCCTCGCATTCTCCCGGTCGGGCCCCCGCGGGGATTCAAACCCGCGACCCGCCCGGGCTCCACGTGGGGCCGGCCAGCGCCTCGGACGTCACGGGGCGGGGCCGGTGTCCAGAGGGGGACTCTCATTGGACAAGGTCCCAGGGGCGGGGTCGCCCGGTGGACTCGGCTCCCCGCGCACAGCCAATAAGAAACGCTGTTCCGCGGGGGCGGGGCCTGACGGGGACCCCGGAGCGGAGGCCCCGCCCCGCTCGACGCCGAGGGGGCGGAGCCTGAATGTCCAGCAGGGGTCTGCGGCGGCCCAGGCCGAGCGGGGAGACCTCTGGGGCGGGAGCCCCGCGGTTCGCGCCTACTCTGCGCGCGCCGCCTCTCTGGGTCGTCCGAGGCGCGAGATCTCAGTTGTCCTTCATGATCTTCTGCACCCAGTCCACATAGTGGCAAACGCTGGTGTAGACGGCGGGGCGCCCAGGTCTGGAGCAGGGCTCTGAACCCCCAGACACCACGCCTGCCAGGGTCCCGTCGCAAACCAGGGGGCCCCCGGAGTCGCCCTGTGCACCGGAGAGGAGTAGAGAAGCATTAGGACGAGCTGTTGGTGAATGACAAAGGCTACTTGCTGCTTCCAGGAAGGTCCCTCTTCCCTGAGACTGAGAGTGGAAACTCAGCGCCCCACCTTACTCCTGGTCAGCTCTCTGGGCTCCCAATTCCCCTCCCACAGGGCCTAGGGGCTGCCCCTCAGTGCCCCCCCCATTTTAGATCCAGGAGTCCTGGTCCTAGCCCCCCTCCCCAGGACCCCACTCTCTTGCTTGCTGGGTCTTGGATGCTGGGGCCTCAATACCCTTCTCCCCTGCCCCAGGACTCCCGCTGCTCCCGAGTCTCACCTGGCAGGACCCCCGGCCCCCCTCCCAGAGGCCCGCGCAGAGCATGCTGTTGGAGATGTGGCCAGGGTAGGCCCGGCGGCACAGTCCGGACTCCAGGACGCTGATATTGGCGCACTGCAGCGTGAGCGGGTACTGCACTGTTGGGGAGGAGGCGGCAGGTCAGCGGCCATCCCACCTCGCCCAGCAGCCCCTTTCCCAAGGAAGGGCCCTAGTGTAAGACTCAAAGGTGGAAACCAGAGGCCATCACAAAGAGATGCGAGGAGAGGCAGGGAAGTGGGGTTGTGGGGAGAAGCAGAGAGATGCCGTCAGCCTAGAAAGCATGTGTAACCCCGCAGAGCAAATGGGGGGGGGAGTGGGGGGGCTGACAGAGCTGGAGATGCCAAGGGAAAGCCAGAGGCAGATACAGGCTCAGAAACGTTAGCCAGGAAGAGGGGGATGCCTCGCACACTACAGATCTGCGCGTGTTGCGTGTGGCTAAAACTCAGACACGTGCAGGGCCTTGATGGGCCAGCAGAGGTGGGTGCAGGGGCCGTGCAGGGGGACGGCGTCCGTGGGGTGAGCTGTGCTTTCTGGAAGGGCGGGCTCCATGACAGCCCCCCACGGCTGGTGTTTGGGGACCAAGTACCCCCGATTGGTTGGGCTTCACAAGTGACTCTAGAAACTTGGCTGACACGCCCAGGTTTTAGTCTCTGGCAGCAACGAATGCCGACTGTCCCCGAGACTCTGGAAGCCGGTCCTGGTGGGGGGCAGTGGGGGCATCTGAGGAGCAGGCTGCTGACCTGGGTCTCTGGGTGACCTGGGTCTCTGGCCTTATTCCAAGTCTAAGCTGCACCTTAACAGCTCCCAAATCAGGATGTGTCCTGCAGCCCAGGTAGCAGGTAGTGATGAAACACAATGGTCATTTGATGAAACAGGGAAGCAGGCAGGAAGACAGCTAGATCCTTAGATGCAGGCAGGGAGGTGACTGACAGGTGACAGACGGTGGGTGACAGGCAGGCAGGCAGGACAGGGCGGAGTCAGAGAAAGCGGGGACACTTGCCCCCCAAGGCCACGTGTCGAATCTAGAAGAGCTGTACCCTTGGGGCTGGACACGGCGCCCCAGCCCGAGATGAGGCACTGGGTGCCGGGCTTGACGCACGTCTGGCTGAGGTTGAGGGGCTGCACAGCGGGCCCCAGGCGCGCCGGCCTGGGCAGCCGGACGAGCATGATGTCGTCGTTGTGGTCATGGGCGCTGAGGTCGTTGTTGAAGCCGGGGTGGGGGAAGAAGTCCTTGACCCGGAACAGCTGCTCGGGGCCCTCCCAGTGCCAGATGTGATGCTCCCCGAGGCGGACCCACAGATACCTGCTGGGGCGGCCTCAGGTCAAGCCCTCCGGTGCTAGGTGCGGGCCCCCGGACACGCCGGCTCTGGGGCCCTCCTCGCGGCGTGGCGGGGCCGTGCGGGTCTAATGAAGCGAGACGCACGCTCTCCTTGGGCCTCTGCTCCCCGTCCCTTCGCAGCCTCTACCTCGGGGGGGGGGGCCCCCAGGGCGCCCAGCCTTCCCAGGTCCCTGTGCTGGGAGCCGCCTTCCTTCCTGCCCCACCTGGGGCCTCGGCGGTGACCTGAGTCCCCTGGAACTTTGTGGGCACACGGGGGCTCCACCTATCGCACAGCAGCAGCCCACACCCTGCCCCCACAGGTCGGGTGGCTTCAGTGGGGAGTGGCGCGTGTGCCTTCCTGTGTGCGTGTTGGTGTGGAGAGCCCCCAAGATGGGCCAGCTGTGGCCCAGGCTCTTGTTGGCTGCCAGAAGGCTCAACCTCAGCATGCCCTACTAGCCTGATCCGGACAGCCCGGGGCGTCTCCGGGTCTCCATGTCCACCCCTCAGCCTCTGCCACCTGGGGCTCCCCTAGCGCCTCGCATTTTGAGATGTTAGCATTCCTCCTCCGCCCCCTCCTGCCTTGCTTCCTGGTCTAGGAATCCGCCCCTCTAGCCCCCTCTGGCCAGCCCTGTCTTCCCTCCACTGAGCTCTGTCTCTGCCTTTGGAGTCTGGACATTGTTCCCCCAGCCTGGTGTCCAGACCTGAGCTCAGGGAGACCCAGCAGTGCATGATGGGAAGCTCCCTCACAGCATCCTTTCCCGAAGCTGCTCTGTTTCTGGGGACGAGGGAAGACAATCAACAGGACGGATGACCCTCTCCAGAGATAATGTGAAAAGGATTTCCGTGAGGCGGAGAGTCTAAGGTTCTGTTCCAGTAGAATAAAACCGTATGCCCAGAAACTAAGTTTCTAGAACTCGAAGATGGTAACACTTTGGGAACCTACAATTCCCAAATCCTATGAAGCTCAAGTTCTAGTAGATCACGATTCAAGAGTTCTCTGGATCAAAAAGGCCATGTTAAAAAGAAAGAAAGAAAACATGAAGACCAGGAATTTTAAGTGATCTGAATTAAACCTAGAATTTGAAAAGTCTCAAAATCAGATATTCTGGGATTAAAAGACGGAAATGCCATCATTTTAGAGTTCTGTAAATCTGTGAGTTTAGAAGCTTAAGGAACTAAAGTTCAAGAGTGTGAGGTTCTAGAATTCTTTGAATTATGACTCCGAAGGTTTTAAGAATCTGGAATGATCGGTTCTGGGATATTCAGTCCACCAGGTTGTAGGCAGACACGATTCCTGCCAATCACAGGGTCCTGGGGTTCAGGAGACCCCAGGCTCTGGGGGAGGGCAAGGTTGGGGTTCCTATCACAGAGGGAAGCTAACAACCGGGACTCAGTGAGGCATACCCCAACATTACCTCAATTCAAAATAAGTAAATAGAAAAAATAAATACGAAACTAATGAAAAAGAAAAAGAGTAAAACTAGATCTCACACCCCGATCACATGTTGAAATCATATTCTGAGTGTGTCAAGGTTAAGTCTCCCACTGCGGCTCATCTTGTCCAGCGTCCTTCCGTGGGTGCTGGGGGCGGACGGCTACGCAGGGCTGGACCCCAGGGGCCCGCTCTGTGCTGACAAGATTCTGGTCGGTTCCTGAGCCTGCCGCCTCAGAATTCCCTGGGACCAACGAGGAGCCCAGGCCGCCTCGGTGGCTTCTCGGGGCCAGAGACTTGGAGTCTAAGAATTGAACTTTCCAATCTTTCGCTGCAAACCCCGACTTTGGGGCGCTCCGGAGCGGAGAGAGGAGACTTTGCAATTCTGGGTTGAACTTGTGCTAACAGAGGGGCTGGGTCCTTCTGCCCTGGGCGCCCCCCCTTGCCCCACCCCCAAGCCCGCGGTCACTCACGGCTTGCGGCAGTGAGCCGCAGTGAGCAGCCAGCGCTCAGAGATGAGGGTCGCCCCGCAGAAGAGGTGGGTGAGGTGGAAGAGGCCGGCCTGCCAGGGCTGCGAGTTGGGGGTGCATTCCTCTGCCCCGATGGCGCGGGTGTCTCCCCGACTGCGCCCTGGGGTCGGAGGACGGCGGCAGGGGTGAATAGGCGAGGCGGAGGGCAGGGGAGGCCCAGGGGCCCAAGCGCCCGGGGTGGGGCGGGGTGAGGCGAGGCGGAGGGGCAGCCCGGGCCCTGGGCGGTGTGGGGGGCAGGGGCCTGGCGGGCGGGGGCCTCACCTGCCAGGAGAGAAAGCAGAGCGCAGAGGAATCGCAACTTCATGACCTCCGGGTGCCTGGGTGCTGGAGCCGGCGCGGCGGCCGGCGCTGCTTTAAGGTAAGCCCTGCCATCTCCTTCCTCCTCCCCGGGGCCGCCCCCGTGATTAATCTGGATTGGGAAACGTGCGGGGGGAGGGGGAAAGCCCTGGGGACCGGCGGGGGGCCTGCGGGAGGACCCCCTGTCACCGCGAGCTGCAGAAATGCTGGGCCAGGGCTCGGCCCAAGCCAGCGGGGAGGGGCCCCGGGACGCGCCGCCTCCAGGGGGCTCTGGAGAGGGGCGCCCTCCTTCTCCATGACCTGGGGACTCAGGATCTCGCGGCTGGGTATTCCTGGCCTGGAGGAGGAAGAGGGAGCGGTGGAAGGTCCCTGAGGCGGGGTCCTGGAGTGCAGGCCAGTGTGACACTGGTGCGGAGCTGGGCAGAGCGGCTGGGCGGGCTTGGGGGTAGGCGGGGCCCCCAGGAAGCTGGCTGGGGTGCGGGAGAAGGGGGCTGGGGCCAGGGAGCCGGTAGGCTCACCGGATGGGACCGGAAAGGGAGAGGAAGAAAGGCCCAGGAAGGGGGAGGGAGACATGCAGCGCCCAGGGTGGAAGGAGAGGGGCTGAGAGGGGCAGAGAGCTCCTGCACCCACCACAGCCCGGGACCCAGCACACCCACCTGCCGTCAAGCCCTTTTCCCTTTCACCAGCACCCCCCGATCTTGGCCAAGAGTGAGAATGTTCTCCTGTCTTTTCTTCTCACGCCATCTTCTCCCCTCCATTGTCCTTCCCACCAGCCCATCCTATCTGCCTCTCTCCAGAGGCTCTCCCCTCGCCCCCCAGCCCCTCACCCCTCACCACCGGGCGGGCAGCCTAGAGGACTAATCCCAAGTCTGACTCCCCTCCCTGTTCATGTCAAGAGATGTTGACTGAATGAGTGAATGCCTTTCTCCAAGTTTCTTCTTTTTCTTTCTGGCAAACTCCTAGACATCCTTCAAGACCCAGTCTAAATGACCTCTCCTCCAGGAACCCCTCTCAGATTTCTCTAGACAGAAACCCTCTTTTCTTCTGAAGCACACACAGCCTGTTCCACTTTTTGTCACCATAAGGCTGGGTCCGAGCTGCCCTTGAATGTGTCCTCACCGTGGCTGAGGGGTTTGCAACAGTCTTCAGAGCCAAACTCTCCAGGCTGGCGACTATTCAGTGTGTGACCTTGGGCAAGTGACTGGGTCTCTCACTGGACCACCTGTTCAGTCGCTGTCATAACGGAGGGGATAATGTGACTGAACACACATGAAGCGCTTGGGGCTGGGCCTGGCACAGAGAAAGCACGAATCTACGACTGACTGTTTACTCTGTGCATGTCAGGGTGGTGTTTTGGGTCCGCTGCTTCAGTGACTCTCACAACAGTGTGCCTTCTCTGTTTCACAAACGGGGATTGAGGCAAAGAGCACCTTCCAGTAATGTGCTCAGGGTCACACGATAAATGACAAAAAGCCATTTCCTTCTCTACCTGTTGAACTCGTACACATCCTATAAAACCCCATGTGAATGTTCCCCCCAAGAAACATTTCCTGACTCCTTCACGTGTCTCTGGGTTCTCCTGGGGATATACTGAGCTTCCTTCTGCGACAGCACTGATCAATGTCTATTACTTGTTCATTCAAACATGGGATGAGTGGCTGTTGTGCACCAGCTATGGAACCAGGTACCTTAGAAACCACAGAGAACTGATTATAACCCAGCCCTCAGGAGTTTAGTGGCGAGAAGAAGGAAAATATGGAGAAAAAGCATAAATAAATAAATGAGGTCACGTCAGCTCTAACAAATGCTGCAAAAGAAATAGAGCAGGGGCCTGGTGACCTCTGAGGTGGGGATCCCTTCAGCTTTAGCCAGGGCAATCCTGGAGGGCTTCCTTAAGGAGGTGACTTTTGAGTGGCCATCTGAATGACAAGAATGTGAGCGTGCCTGGTTCCCAGACCTGACTAGCAGAGCCTAGAGGGTAGGGCCTGGCCTGACTCATCTCCGGGACACAGCTCCATAAACACTTGCAGCATGACTAAGGGAACAGGTGAGTTGCCTTGAAAAATTAATCGAATTTTCGAGTTCCCACCTACTTCACTTGTGACCCTTACATGACAAACTCTGCTACGCCTGACCAGCGTTTCCTGGGTGTGCTGGTGGCCAGTGGGGCGGGAAGGCAAAGTGCTTGGCTGGTACTCAGAGCTGGCACACCAGTCTTCCTTGGGTCCATGATGGCTGAGGCCTCATGGCCCTCCCAGTGCCCAGGTAGAACACCTGCTCCATATACTTGTATCTGCAGGGAAAATGAAAGCTGGGTGTGTGGAAAGCTGTGCTGGGTAGAAAATTTCCCTAGCACTCTGCACTGAGACTGGGGTTCCAAAGTCCGGGTGACAGGAAGGTGCCCCCACATGCTGAGCTTTACCTGGATTCAGCTCAGGAATATTTACACTGAGACAGTTCAGGGGAGGAAAAGACTCCCCTCTCCCGAGACCTCCAAGCAAGGACCCTCTGGGTGGTGCAAAAGCTTAAAGCGCAGCACTGTGAAGCTGCCTGCAGCCGCTGCAGCGCGAGTTCGATCCCCAGCCAGGGAGGGACCCACAGGGCGCAGCAGACCCCTCCTGTCTCCCTGCTACTCCCCTCAGGAGTGGATCGGCCTGTTCTGCTCCCCACTCTGTCTCTGGTGAACCCTCTCACTCCCTTGCGCCCCAGTGTTTGTATGCATAAAAAAATAAATCTTAAAAAAAAATCCCTCAAAGAAAATCTGGGAGGACAGGGGCAGAGTCAGCCTGGAGGACGAGAGTGGATGTGGCAGAACAGGGTTGTGTGTGTGACAGGAGGGAGGGAGGGACAGAGGGACGGAGGGAAGGGACGGACGGCATCCCTGGAGCCAACCAGCAGCTCCCTCAAGGCGCACAGGGTTTCTCTGCAGGGATGGAGCCACCCAGGTGGGGACAGGCGCCTGGGCCGGGATGCCTACGGGGTGAGGCCTCGTGCGTCCAGGGCCGCGGGTGACTCAGGCCAGCCCAGCATCTGCTGGGACAGGAGGAACTGGTGCTGGGTGGACCCAGACACGGAAGCAGTGGGAGGGGAGGCGGACGTGGCTGAGGGTGCTTTGTGGGGCTGTGGGGTGGGGGTGCGGTTCTCCTGGCAGCCCTCGGGTAGAATGGGGGGTGCTGGGGCTGGGGTCGCCCTGGCCTTTCTCCCTTGGACAGAGTCACACGCGTTCCCACCAGGCCCTGCTCACACTTCAACAACAGGCCACATTTAATAAGCGCTCGCCGCCCACTTGTTCATCGTTCACACGGCAATTATGCTAACGATCGACACACGCACGGTCTGTCGTCTCCTCTCAACGCACGGATGAGGTAGGCACTTCGGTGGCCCCATTTTCTAGGTGATGAAATGGAGGCCCAGAGAGGGTGCTGGGCTTGCCCAAGGTCACACAGCATGACAGGGAGAGGAAGCCAGGCAGATGGTGGACATGGCTTCCTCGCCTGTCTCAATCAAAACTGCCCCCACCTCTGCACTGGGGGTTCCACGGGGCAGGGAACAGCAGCGGGCAAGGGCAGTGGGGGCAGGATATGGGTATGCGGGGGCTGGGTGCGCTCAGCTGACTCCAGAGGAGAGGAGGCGCAGGGGTCAGTGGGAGCTTAGTGGGAGCTGATGGTTTTCTGTATCCACGAGGAGTATTTGCAGATCTGGGTGTAGACCGCGGGGTGCTGAACTGAGCCGCAGGGGTAGACGCCCCAGGAAAGGACGCCCTGCAGAGTCTCGTCACAGACCAGGGGGCCTCCGGAGTCGCTCTGGGGCAGGAGGCAGGAGAGAGAGGCAGTCAGACACCTCCCTGGGCGCTGCCCTGGGCCTGGGGTGCTGGGGGAGGCAGGGTGGGCTAGCGAGGGCTTGGGGTGAGGTCCCGGATCTGGGGACAGGCCTTGGCTGAGGGAGTGGGAAGGGCTTGGGGCTGGGGAGCTTCGTGGGGTCTCTGCTCCCCCATACGCTCCGAGCCTTGCTCCTCCTGCAAGGAAGAGCCCCCCAGCGCCCTACCTGGCAAGGGTCCTGGCCCTGGTCCAGCCCCGCACACACCATGTTGTTGGAGAGCACGCCGGGGTAGAAGGCCTCGCAGGCTTTGGGGCTCAGGATGGTGACGGTGGAGCAGCTCAGGCCCCTGTTATACTTCACTGATGGAAGAAATGCCAGGTAATCCTGGGGTCCACCCCCAATTCTCCGGGACCCAGGAGTCCAGATCCTACACTGTACCCATCCCAGGCCTCTAGCCCCCTGCCTCAGACCTAGGTCCAGGCCCCTGGACTCCCCCTCAGCCCCGGGAGTCCAGGCCCCAG